TCCAAGGTGACATAGTAAGACTCTGTCTCCAAAAAAAAAAAGATAAATACTTAAGGTGATGGATACCCCCAAATACCCTGACTTAATTACACATTCTATGCATGTAACAAGTACCCACACATGCTCCATAAATATATGAAATATTATATATGAATAAATAATTACATAATAAATAAACAGCACCAAAAACCTTAAGTATAAATCTAACAGTGATGGAGAAATATTTCATGTTCCGAGATTGAAAGACTCCAAGTTGTTGTCACTTCCTCTGAACCTGACCTATAGATTCAACAAAACAATCACAGCAAAGTGTTCCGTAGATGTCAACAAACTGATCTTTAAAAGTATTTGGAAAGGAAAAGGGCCAAAAAGAGCCAACACAAAATTGAAAAAGAAGAACAAAGTGGAGCATTCACACTACACAATTTTAAGATTGGTATAAATCCACAGTAATCAGCACAGCCTGATATTGGTCGAAGAACAGACAGATAGAACTAAACAGAAAGCACAGAAATAGAGCCAGGCGTGTGCCGTCAACTGATTTTTGATAAAGGCAACTCAAAAAATAAACAGCAGTATTTTTTTTGTTCTAGCATAAATGGTGCTAGAACAATTGGATGTTCATATGAAGAAAAAGACAAGAGGGGCGATGCCTGTGGCTCAAGGAGTAGGGAGCCAGCCCCATATACTGGAGGTGGTGAGTTCAAACCCAGCCCCAGCCAAAAACTGCAAAAAAAAAAAAGACAAGAAGAAGAACTTAGCCACAGACCTTACATAACACACAAAAATGAACACAAGATGGTTTATAAACTGGTATGTAAAATACAGAACAATAAAACTTCAAGAAGATAACACAGGAGAAAGTTTAGATTACTGTGAATATGGAGATGAGTTGTTTTGTTTCAATACCAAAAATGCAACTCATGAGAGAAAAAAATTGTTAACCTGGACTTTATTAAAATTAAAAGTTTTACATAATCAAAGATACTGCTAAGATAACAAAAAGAGAAGTCACAGGCTGAGAGAAGGTTTGCAAATCACGTATCTTTCAAAGAACTTCTGTCAAAAATATACAAAGAACTCTTAAAAATCAGCAAAAATAAAAACGCAATTGAATTAAAAAGTGGGAAAAAGGCAACACCCGTGGCTCAGTGGGTAGGGTGCCAGCCACATACACCAAGGCTGGCAGGTTCGAACCCAGCCCAGGCCAGCTAAAGCAACAATGACAATTGCAACAACAACAACAAATATATCTGGGCATTGTGGTGGGTACCTTATATAGTCCCAGCTACTTGGGAGGCTGAGATAAGAGAATCACTTAAGCCCAGTAATTTGAGGTTGCTGTGAGCTGTGATGCCATAGCACTGTACCCAAGGTGACAGCTTGAGACTCTGTCTCAAAAAGAAAGTGGGAGAAAGATCTGAACAGATACTCAATCACAGAGTATATACAGATAACAAATAAGCATATGAAAAGACGTTCAACTTCATTTGTCATTAAGGAATTACAAATTAAAAGAAGAAGATACCACTATGCATCTACTAAAATGGCTAAAATCTAAAACAACTGATAATGCCAAAGCTAATGAGAATGTGGAACAACCAGAATTCTCATTCTTTCCTGGTGGAAAAGAAAAATTCTATGGCCACTCCAAAAGATGGTTTGGCACCCGTGGCTCAGTGAGTAGGGCGCCGGCCCCATATACCAAGGTTGGTGGGTTCAAACCCAGCCTCTACCAAAGTGCAACAAAAAAAATACCCAGGCATTGTGGTGGGTACCTGTAGTCCCAGCTACTCAGGAGGCTGAGGCAAGAGAATCGTCTAAGCCCAAGAGCTGGAGGTTGCTGTGATGCCACTGCAGTCCACTGAGGGCAACAAAGTGAGACTCTGTCTCTTAAAAAAAAAAAAAAAGATGGTTTGGCAGTTTTATGCAAAGCTGAATACAGTCTCATAGCAAACCCACTTTTAGGTGTCTACCCAACTGATTTAAAAACTCATGTCCATACAAAACCCTATAAACCAATGTTTATTCATAATCACCAAAACCTGAAAGCAACCAAGATACCCTTTGATAAGCAAAAAAACATACTGTGGTATGTCCATATGATGAAATACTACTCAGCAACGAAAAGAAATGAGCTAACAAGCCACGAAACATCTATAAATCATTAATGGATATTGCTAAAAGAACCAGTCTGAAAAAACTGAATGATTCTAATTATGTGTCATTATAGAGGCAAATTACAGAGAAAATAAACAGATCAGTAATTGCTACAGGTTTGGGGAGGGGGAGGGTTGAATAGACCCAAAGAGCTTTACAATACAAAGAATCTATCTGTTTCCATGTACAGACACAAGTTAATTACCATTCTTCTTTATTCTGTTAACTAAGAGAGTCTATAAGCAACAAAGACCCAGAAGCAAGATCACCGTCAGTGCCCAGATCTTGGTTTTGATCTACTATCATGCTATGTATGTATGTATGTATGACATGCTATCATACAATAAAACGAAGCACAGCTTCTTGGGGAAATGTCCTCTTTTAAATTGTTAATATAAATGCTATCCTAATGAATGAAGTTAACTTTTTTTTTTTTTTTTGGAGACAGAGCCTCAAGCTGTCACCCTGGGTTGAGTGCCATGGCATTACAGCTCACAGAGACCTCCAACTCCTGGGCTCAAGCGATTCTCTTGCCTCCACCTCCCAAGTACCTGGGACTACAGGCACCCGCCACAACGATGCCCGGCTATTTTTTGGTTGCAGCTATCATTGTTGTTTGGCAGGCCCAGGCTGGATCTGAACCCACCAGCTCAGGTGTATGTGGCTGGCGCCTTAGCCGCTTGAGCCACAGACGCAGAGCCAGAATAAGGTTAATTTATTAGGAAGTTTAATCTTTTTAAAGACACCACTGTGGGATTAAGTGATTTCCCCCCGGGTTCCAGACTCCTAGCTTTTAAGTACTTGGGTACACCATTTTTCACAATGCCCTTTGTTAACTTACAGTTTAAAAGACTCACTCTGTTAACAATTAAGAAACCTAATGATGTAGAAGTAATGATGAACCACAGTAAGAAGAGGGAGGGGAGGATGTAAGTAAGCTATTTCTTATGTTCTCATACAGGAGTAACTTTCTATATGTGTATGATAGGATTATGATAATGAACTTTCTAGGTAATAAGAAGTCAACAATTTTCGATATATAATTTAAAATAGTATTATAACAATCCGCAGGGAAGAGAGATAATGAACTCGAGTTAAATTCTTCATAGTCCGTAGCAGGAATGATGGTTAATTTTAGGTGTATCCAGCAGTGTCAATAGCTACTGCCTCATTTTAATGAAAATATTGTATATAATTTATATGACTATTAGAAAACTGAAAACAAAAGCTAATAATAAAGTAAGAAATAGCAATACAAGCAAATCATTCAGAGCTTTGGGAAGACTGTCAGAAAAGCGAAAAATAAAGAGGGGGTGGGAAAAGAGAAGACTTTTGTAGTATTTACATTTCTATTAGAATTATCAGATATTAATTTATTATGAAAACTATTTCTATAATACTATCACTAATAGCACCACCCTGTAAAGGAAGGATACACTGAGTGAAGAGGGTGCCTTTCAACCCTGGCATGGTAAAAGAAAACAGCAGTTGCTGTTGCCAGATAGTAAAAAAGAGGCACAGGATAAGATTTGGACATATTCTAGCAGTCACCTTTGCTGATTCTTTGCTTCCACGTCATTATGGGCTAAACAATCCATTTTTTCCTATAAACTTCTAAAGAGACATTCATTTCAATGGCTTTTAACCACTATTCAGTTTCAACCACTCCAATCTTCCACCCTGTACACTTCTTTTAGAGAAAGGGCCGTTTCAAGGCGCACATTATTGGCAGGACCCGACACTGGTATCACCTTTTTAGGGTATAATTTGGAAGTCCATATTAAAATGTAAAATTTGGCTACATTTTGACCTAAATCATTCGCTTCTCTGAATCTACCCTACAGAAACACTTCCAAATGCTCAAAGATCACTCTGTACACAAACTTCCGATTGGACAGAGAAAAAATTGATAACTAAAAACAATCTAAATGTACATCGGTAGATGGCAGAACATTCTGTTGTCCTTTTAAAAATAAAATACATCTTTTATATAGTGACACTGAAAGTGATCCACAATAGATTGATTGCAAAGTGAGAAAAGATTCAAATAATGTTATACAATTTTTCTAAGAAAAAATATACATGCATACATATCACATATACGTGTGTGAACTGTGTACTTAAGATGTTGTGTAAAGGAGACTTTTTTTAAAGTTTGTGATCGCTTTACTTTGCACCTTTCTTTATTACTATCTTTTCATTTTTTACATCCAGCATGTGTTGCTTTCATATTTTAAAAAATCAGGTCACGATTCAATTGCCATGTATCTGGGATAAAAAAAAAAAAATCCAAAAAGGGAAACACTCTTAACGTCTTTCCAATAATTCACTCTAAATCAACAAAAAGAATTCTGTGCGAGAACCAGCACGCTGCCGTCTAGAAAGAGCGAAAAGCAGAACTTCAGGGGTTTGGATCACTGCGCAGTGACCTAGCCTAGGGCATGAAATCAGGGCACCAAAAACAAAGACAGCAGGAGGGCGGAGCAGTGAAGCCTTCCGAGGGGCGGCGGCAGACAGAGGGGACGCGGGGCGTGAAGGGGACCCGGGGCGGGGGAGACGAAGGCTGTTGGCCCACGACGCCGGCAGGGTAGGAGAGGAGCTGGGACCGGCTGTGTGGGAACGAGGTCGCAGGGTCAAGCGACGGAAGGGGCGGGAAGGCGCGCCGGGAGCAGCTCCATCTAGGGAACCAGTAGGAGCCGGGGGCGCGGCTGCGGCGACAGCCCGGCCGGCCGCGTGGGGTCAGCCCGGGACGCGGAGGGGGCGGGCAGAGCGCCCGGGAGCGCGCCCGGGGCCGACTGGGGGCCGGGGCGAGGGGCCCGGGCCGGCGCGGCGGCCAGTACCTTCCCAGGAGAGCTCTCCGCCCGGCTCCCGCTTCAGGAACTTGTACCAGAAGGTGTCCACGCGGCCCGGCTCCGCCCCGTCCTGCGCCGCCTCCTCGGGCGCCAGCTCCACCTCCCCGAGCCACAGGCCCGGCTCCTGCA